ATGTTCAAGGCCCAGGAAGGTAGTAAGGGCATTGATAAAATAGTCCATGTGACATCAGTGGTTCAACCGTAATATTATGAAGCTACGAGAATACGTTTTGTGTGCCTTTTCCAAGCTGCAACCTTCCTCTCTCGTGAAACCAACACGGAAGTGACTAAAACTGCAATTCATCGACTGACCGCTAGAGGCTGGCTCCAAAAGGGAGTCAGTCCCTTAGACTCCCCATGTTAAAATGCCCAACTTTACAGCAGAAAAAAATGTTTACAGCCTGGTACAAAAAGTGGTTTTGGTCTATATAGCTAATTTTGCCCTTCATGACAACTGTGAGGGGGCTGAATTTTTTTATAACTCATCCGTTTAAATTATATTAAGCCTTAAAGTTCTGCATAATTAAGGGCGTGGCCACTTGAGTGGCAGGTGGATTGCCGCTGCTGACACTGCCGGCGAGCTAGGTGGGCGTGGTTTCATCAACCAGCTCCCGCCTCTTTGCCCATTTTCGATTATCCGGGAGTGACGCGTGGTGATGCGCTGCCAAGATGGCGACGGCCAGCTCTGCCCACTTTGAGCTTCAAAAACGCTCTTCAGAAACCTACAGGTGACGTCACGGACACTACGTCCATGTTTTTATACAGTCTATGGCCTTTTCCCTTGTAATGTGCAGAGACAGAATTTGCAATAGGGAAACCTGTTTGGAAAACATCAATAGTTGTGTTTGCGAATGCAAACATTAAATAATGATAATTTATTAAAATAATTATAATTTATTTCATAAATCTAAATACATTTCTTTGTAAATATTTGTGAATTTTACTAGCAATTTCTGAGTGAAAATTGTTTCAAAGTAAATTTTTCCAGTTTGTTCAGAAACTTTACATCTTACATCTTACAGGTTACATCTGCTACGGACAAGTACCATTTTCTCAAGGAAATCTAAAAATCATTGTCTTTCCATTTGGTGCAACTATTTTTATCATTTGGTGCAGCAATTACAGACTTCACTTTTAAATTATTATATTTTTATAAATGACATCATGAAATCATGAAAAATTTGAGCTGACAGCACTTAACACAACCACTTTTGTTAAGTAGAAACTAAATGACCCGGCTTGTTCTGTCTGTTTAACAGTGCAGCAATGTCAGGCTCTTTATCCATTATCTATTGACATGAGACATTATGTCACTGTCCCAGACAAAGCACTCCACGTGGATATATCTGATGCATAAGTGTCAAAGAGTGACATGCCAGCTATGGCAGTTATGGTTAGCTAGCACATCATGAACACCATCAACCAACTAACACACACACACACACACACAAACACACACACACACACACACACACACACACACACACACACACACACACACACACACACTTCAAACCCTGTACATCTTTCATTTTTTATGTTCACATTTATCCTTCAGGCAGAGAGATAGTGGGTGAAAGAGCCCCCACCAGCACTTCCTTTCTTTCTTCCAGCTTTGATGCCCACCGTCAAGTCACCCCCTACCAAAACTTCTCTCATGCCAACCCACACTTGGCAATCACAGCTTGTTACCAACCTGTTCTTAGTCTTCTAGACAGACATTGACGGTGGGTTGTTAGCAAGAATAGGTTGTTTATCCCTCTCTCACTCTCTCTCTTCCTCTCTCGCTTTCTTTCTATGTTAGGATCATAATGGAGGAAGAAACCCTGCTGCGAGAGAGATTACAGGCTATAACAGTGAGTATCAGGCTGTTAAAAAAAATGCTGCAAAGCCTCCCTCTCAAATAGATTATTAGTTCTCTCTAGCATGCATGATTGTGTTAATAACAAGACAAATGCCACTAAACAACAAAAGAATGAAGGTTCGAGGTGAAATAAAAAAGGTTTAGGATATTTCTTACTTTACATAATATGACTCTGATTTCTCAACAGGACAAAAGAAGAATTCGAGAGGAGATAGAAAAGAAACGAAGAAACATTGAAGAAGAGAAATTAAAACTACAATATCTAAAGGTATGTATTCTTATGAATAATAATTATAATATTTATATAATTATTGTTTTATAATATTTATACTCACACACA